CCGCAGCTGCAAATTTGCTCTGCTGTTAACCATTATAACCAGCAGATGGAAATGTTGGATTGCATTCAATCATGTAGTAACAGCAGTAGGTGTTAGTTGGTTTAACACCAGGTTTCTCCTGGTTTTAGTAGACTGTTGTATAAACCCATGTAATCTGTAATATTAATATGAATGTTGCTTATTGTTGTGTATTATTTCTACACAAAGCATACAAAGTGTTCATTCCTGTGCTGTGGGAATACCTGTACAAACTGAATAAATGACTGGACTCCATCTTATCAACTGCTGTATCTTCTCAGAGACAACGCAGGAAGATACCCATTACAAAGAGCTACACTATATCCAGTCTTACTAGTAACTATTAGGATCTCAGGGTTTCTGCCTTGTACTTTGAATATTGTGGATTTGTGATTTGTTTCTGGAGTTGTATGTGATACTTTTTCTTTTCCTTAGTCCTCTGATGTTTAGCATTTTTACCAAGTGCCTAGACCAGTGATCTAGGTGTTTCGTTTTTAATTCCTTGTTTAGTTTAATCAGTTCCCTTTCATTTCTTTTCTTGGCCTGTCTCTGTGTCTCCTCCCTGCATTCAGTCAGTCTTGTCTCCATTATTGCTAACCGCAAATCCAGAAACATCAAAGTCCAAGACTGCAAAACAATCAGTGACACAGACCTGCTATCAGGCAGAGGAGAACCACAACATCACACTGGAGTGGACGTTCACCACCAAACCTGACAGATCCACCAAAACTCTCAACATCCTCTGTGAACTCTTCATCAGTGATAAACTCTCAGTCCTGTATCATGTTCATGAAGGTGTTGAGGTGTCAGAGTCTCAGGATGAAAAGTTTTCAGGACGAGTCCAGAGTGACAAAGACGCCCTCAGAGAAGGACGAATCAGACTTCAACTGTCCAGACTCAGGACTGATGACTCGGGTCTGTACCTGTGTGAGGTCAACACTGATTATGGCTTCAGTGTTGGAAGATGTCGACTCAACGTAACTGGTAAGTTTATCATGATTAATATTAATATTATTATTACCATTATTTATTTACTAATTTATTTCTATATCACTGAGAGACTTGAATGAGTCCTCAGTGAAACTCAACGTCACTGGTGAGATGATTCAGGAGAGCAATTTAAACATGTCTAGTTTGGCACTTCTTTGGACGAATAAGATCCTTCTTAGAGATGTGAGTTATTTAATGTGGTATTAGTGTAATATTTATTTATAAGTGACTCAGATGTTTGTGTCTCTACAGCAGTGAGGGATTTTCCTGAATCTGCGAGAAAACCTAAGGCATCAAACACAGAGAGTCGAGGTGGGATTGGCCTCTACTGTGGACTGACAGCAGCTCTGCTGCTCTGCTGCTTTTCATTTATTTACTGTCTAAATAACAGGATTTCTACACAGAGTCGAGGGTTGGATGTCGGAAAACTTTGAGCTTATCAGATGAATAAGTGGAAACAGTTTGATCAACAATGTAAATGAAACTGTTAGAGGATTTGGTGGAAAGAGAATAATGAGCCACAATCTAGAGCTGATCCACAAAACAGTGTAGGAAACTCCTCTTCATGTTTATATTCTTCATTACTTCAACAGTAAACTTTTATCACACTGTCACTTATGGGAAAGGTAAGTGTTCTGCTTATTTGTTTTATTATCTCTTAAAAACTGTCAGACTGCAGTTGTGAGTTCAGGATGTTTAGGATTCATTTTTTTAAACTTTTGCACACTGAACTTTAATGTTTTTAATTATCATCCTGCAAACAATAATAAACTTTATCCATATGTTTGTATATATATCTTTTATGCCTATACAACATAGTGATTTTTTAACTAATATAGATTTATACAGCTAAAATGAATTATAGTTGTATAAATTATAATAGATTTATAACGTTAAATATTGTGTCACGGTGTTTATCATTCTGTATAGAATTATATAAATATTCAGAAAATAATCAAAAGCAGAAATATGGTTTGTTTCCACCATAAACCAACAGGTGGCACTTCTTTGTCTTTTGTCTCTGTTAGAGTGTTGGATTTAAGGTAGAAAATTGAGAAGCTTCAGGTTTTTGAGCTGTCAGCATGTTTATATGTCAGTGAGTTACTTTGTTTTCTTGTGTTTACCTTTGTCGCCTTCATGTGGACATGTAATTGAATCAGCCAGTGGGGACGTTGAATTGTTGACCGATCAGTGGAACTACTGATGATGGACAAATTGCAGAAGTTTTCACTGAAAGCATCTCACCAATACAGAGACTGAGACACAAAAGCACAAGAGTGACTGTCTTTACCACTTTCTCGAAGTAAAAGAAAATGGCTTGAGATAAAATAGAAAATGCTTCTTGTTGATGATAGAGAGCTCACAATATTCTGGATTTGAGTATAAAAATTCATTTTAGTTGTAACAATTTCTTTTTTTAGTATATGCTGATTTTTTTTCTTCTGTTTGTTCATGATTAACTGATTCTGATACTGTGACATGATGGAGTAGGAAGCTGGGACTATTTTGCAGAAGGCTGAAATCAGTGAGGCGAATATAAAGACATACAGGTCAGGTCTGTGAAATGTGAGCAGTGAACATTGAGCATAACTTTGTTCTGTCACGTCAAAAATAAAATAAACATTTGGTTCACCTTGAGGGAAAACAACATCTTTAATATGTTTCAGTCATGATGGATTTATATGTGCCTTTAATGTTTTGATTACAGCTGCTTTTTCACGTTTAAGGATTAAGGATTAAAGAAAGCAACAGATCATCGTCTCCTTAAGATGAACTTTGACCTCAAGTGTCACTGTTAATGACACCTTAGTACTGTACCTTGACCTGAAACTTACTAAAGATGAAGAATGGTGAGTGTTGGTCTAAAATTGTCTCCTGTATTTCCCAAATGTCTCCCGTATAGTGTTTTTTTTCCTCCTGCATGTCAGCCTGCTACAGAGTAATCTGCTGGAAAGGGCACTCCTGTGCACATGCTCCAGGTTTTATAGTAAATCTGAGGTCAGATCCTGAAGTTGAGCATCACAGAAAAATTTGAGCTTCTCTCATGAATCTGCTTCTTGTTAGTTTGCCTCCCTTATACAATACTGATACATTTCATTTGATTTCATCTGAAATTTTGTTTGATGTGTAACAAGGAGTTTGCTGCTTGATTGTCATTTTAGTACAGTAGATTGTTGTATAGACTGACCAGGTTTCATACATTTATACATTTACTGGATATATGAGTGTTTCCTTCAATGCATCATTGTGTTTTACACACAGTAAGTTTCAGAGTTCTGTGTTCATGAAGTTTAGAGTCCAAATTATAAATTATGACTCATGGTTGAAGCTTTAGGTGTCATAGCTGCTGTTAACAGAGTAACAGGAACACAGAGGATCAAATGTAGACATTAGAAGAAAAGGTCATCCAGTTCAGTTCAGACATGAAAGATTCAAAGATTTAAAGTATGGCGCTCAGTCAACATTTAATAGATTATTCTGGTAAAAAAAAAAAAAAAATCATTAAGGAATGAAATGAAGGCAGGGATAGCTTGACTGATGTCAGCAAGGG